ATTGGGAATTAGAGCTCCAGAGTAAACAGTTAAGGTCAAGAGCAAATGTCCTTTCTGGCAAAGATGACGGTTCGATCTGACAAATTGTTCTGGAACTGAGCGACAAAGAAAAATATACAATGTAGGCTCATATCTTGTGAAGAGTGAGGACAGGAGTAAAGAGTTCTGACTGAACAGCCAGAGAATTTTCCACACTGTTATGATCTCAGACGTAGACCTTCGACTATAAAATGCTTTAGGAGTCAATGGCCCATTAAAGTCTTGCCGACCTGTGAGGGCTTGAGTTGATTAAGAAGTGGAAAAGTCTGGGAAATAAAAACAATCCTTGTCTTTATAGAGACACTGTGTCCTGACTTTCACGAGGCTTGATGGGTTCAGCTGCTGATAAAAAACAAGTTACTACTCTATGTAGTTCAGGACAAACTATCCGAAGGGGAAAAAGCAGAAATGTTTTAAGCAGAAATGTTTCAATAAAGTCTGGTTCAACATGGCTTGCACGATTAAATACAATACCTGCTAAACAACGTTTAAGTCAAATATAAAAATAGGAAAATCAGATGGTCAATGTGTACTGAAAGAAGAAAGATGGTTTAAATTGACACAGTAGAAAAGTCACATCAACACATCTTTTGGAATTTGAACCAGCCTAAACACATTTACGATTTTTTTAAGTTATCTCGCTGATGACCATTGAAATAACAGTTTAGGAATGGCTTGGTTGCTCTGGTAACAAGTCCCAGGAATTAATTGTCCTGGGACTTAATTGAAGCATAAATGAACAAAAGCAAAGTAAGGACACCATTATCCTTATGTCTCTATTTTTTAAATAAACCTCTAATGTTGACATAAATGGTAAGTTGTCCAAGCTTTCCCTCAGCTTTTAAGTTTCATAAAGCTCGGCATTTACTGCTTTCAGACTTCCTCCAAGGTGCCAAAAAGCAATAACTAATAAGACTGTATAAGCCTTTCAAATGTAATGGCTTTAAACTAAGTTAGTTTTTAGGAAGCCTGAATCAGCAACGTGTGGCCGTCGCTGCTGAGAAGAACTGACAAATGTGAGTCATTGGAGTTCTTTCTAAAGATTTCTCTTTACCTTGGTCACATGAAAAGAGAAGTGTTGGTAACGAGCAACAGATTCAGATCAGATCAGATCAGATCAGAAATACTTTAATAATCCCAGAGGGAAATTATTTGATTAAAGGGCAGGTTACATTATTAGGATGTTTTGGTCCTAGAAGAGAGTGGATTGAAATATAGGATGGAAAAAGACAACACAAAATGTGTCTGATACGTCTGAAAAGACTAAATCTGAACATCAAAGAGTTAAAGACTACTAGATGGACCCAAAGTGATCATTGACTTTCTTTTCAACTCAGCCTTCATTAAGAAATCAAACAGGCCTTTTTCTTGAAATGTCAAGCAAATATTTCAAACAAGACACACGAAAAAAAACTCAAATACAGTGAAATACTTCATGTGCAGATGATCTCAACATGGAAATCAGTTAGCTCAAAAACAATTCTACACAACCAAAGTGAGGACAACTATCCATTGAGCTTCAGCCATTAGAATCTAAACCGATTTTTATTTTTCTCATCCAGGTGAGATCTGAGTAAATGATGGGAGATCAGCACCCCGAGACTCCTCACCTGCTCTGGAAGTAGTTTGCTAGTTCGGACGCCTCATGGTTCAGACTCCTCAGGTGTACAATTAAATTGCCAGAGTTGGTGAACATGGCGCCGCATGTTTTGCACTCATAAATCCGCGGCTTGCGGATTATGTGTCGGGAGACTCTCATGTGGTGCTTATATTCACCGAAGGACGTGAATGTGGCGCTACAAATCTGGCACCGGAAACAGCGTTTACCTTCGTGCTTCAGCCGATGCATCTTTAGGGAGTAGGCCCGTGTGAACTTTTTCCCACACCGGTCACACTGGAAAGGTTTAATGCCTGCAGAGAGGAGACAAAACGGCTGCTTGTTGATCTGTTTACGAACATCCCTCGTTTTGTAGGTGTGGGATCATGTAAAGGTTGATTTTTGCACTCATTAGTAAAGCAAATCCAAGGCTGTCTTTTGAAAAACTGAAAATATAAAGTGTCACAGAGGGGCTGAATTTTAGGACACCCTGCTCATAGCTCTAGTTCCTCAGAGGAAGTCGTTTTCCTTTTTAAATCAGAACTTTTTTCATCCATTATTTTCACTGTATTTGTCTTTTACATCCATCAGTCATCAAAACACTTCTGTAAATAGCCATTTGTGTATTGTAAGGCTAGTTTATCAATAATGAAACAGAACAATTATTAAAATCTCTAAAAAAATAAAATAATTGATTCATAAAAGGAACACAACTTTTTTAGATGTCGCTTTCATAGTATTCCAATGAACTTCAAATGTTTAAATACTATGAAACCAATTTCTTAAAAAGTCAAGAAATAAGACAACGGCAACAATAAGATAAAAAAAAGTAGGTGTGTAGCAGCATGTTGCAGTTCAGAAAACCTGTGTGGTTCATTTTGACATGCCGGGGGCACAACACGATTCAGACACAGTTATGTTATTTATTATTATGTTTTTGTACTCTATTTACTTTGACATTTTACTCAGCATCCCAAATTTGGAACTGGGTTTTTATGAATTCCAGATGGTATTGTTGAAATACCAAAGAATGTAAATAAAGCAGACATAAACATGTGAGACCAGAAAAATTTCCCTATTTTCTTCACTGCTGCTTCGGACTCTTGTATGCGTCAATTCTGGTCTCTTGTTGGCTCCTCTTATATTTAGTCACACTGGCTTTGGAAACGCTTTGGCGTTAGAAACGTTTTATGCAACTTAGAATCAATTCTAACGATGAGGAGAACCAACACTGTACAGAAACCAGAAAAGGAATGTTTGTTGGTTATAAAGGCAGAGCACACCAATTAAAACTTGGAAAGTGCCATGTTTAAAAAACCCAGTAATTTCCATGCATTTAATTCTAGAGGGAACAATAAAAACTCAGTGTCGCTCTAATTTCATGCCGCAGCAACATTTATGTAAAATAAATCCCGATTCAGCAGTGTCTAGGTTTTATTCATTTGTTTGTATTCATGACCATATACTGTTGTTTAAAAAGTGTGTATAAATGTAGAAAATAACAGAATCTATAAAGCATCAGTTTGCTGAAGAGCAACTTAAACACTGGTTGCCAAAAGAAACGTACGACAGAAATGTTTAAAATGATGCGTCTCTAGTGGCTTTCTGGTCTTGGCACTCAAAAAAAAAATTGATAAATCATGCATCTGATTTTCACTGGTTGAAAATGTGGGCTTTGGAGGGGCAGTTAGTGGGAAATCCTGGCTTTGAGAGAGCTGCTACCGATGGCGATAGTTGTAGCGTAATAGAGGGAGAGGAACATGTGGAATCAGGAAGATTGTATCTCCGATTCCACAACATTTACATCACGTTGATCCTCTAATCTCTAAATCAGTTGAGTACTCTGTTACTACTGGTACTAGTGGGGCAAAAACGTATTTAGTCAGCCACTGATTGTGTGAGTTCTTCTACTTAGAAAGATGAGAGGTCTGGAACTCTCATCATGGGTACACTTCAGCTATCAGAGGCAAAATGAGAAAAAAATCAAATGCAGGAAATAAAACGGTAGGATTTTGTAAGGCATTTATTTGTAAATTATGGTAGAAAATAAGTATTTGGTCAATAACAAAAGTTCCAGTCAACAGTTTGTAACGTAACCTTTGTCGGCACTGACAGGGGTCAATCGTTTCCTGTAAGTCTTAAACAGATTTGCAGACTGTAGCTGGTTTTCTGGTCCTTTCCTCATTGCAGATCTCCTCTGGAGCTGTTGCTGGGCAACACTGACCTTCATATCCCTCCACAAATGTTCTATGGGGTTGAGGTCTGGAGATTGGCTGGGCCATTCCAGGATCCACTCCTTCGGTGCCCAAGTGGTGTGTTTGAGGATCGTCATTGTGAAAGACTCAGCCATGTTCCCTTTTAATGCTACCAATGAGGACGTTTTTGCCTTAAAATCTCACCATACAGTCTTTGGACAGCTGTGTGGTCTGGGCCATGGTTGAGTTTGGAGTCTGTCCGTTTGTGGACAGGTGTCTTTTAACACACACACTGAGCTCAAACAGGTGCCATTATTACAGGTAACGAGTGGAGGACAGAAGAGCTTCTTAAAGAAGAAGTTAGAGGTCTGTGAGAGCCAGAAGCCGTGCTTGTTTGTGGGTGACCAAATACTTATTTTCCACCATAATTTACAAATAAATTCTTTACCAAAACCTACAATGTGACTTCCTGCTTTTTTTTAAACCCTATATTGTGTCTCATAGTTGAAGTTGAGTTTGCATGATGTTGTTTCTTTGTTTGCATGGGTTTTCTCCAGCTTTCTCCCACCTTCCAAAAACATCCATTTAAGATTAAATCGGACACTGAATTGCCCCTAGGAGTGTGTTTTTTTTGTCTCCGTGTGGCCCTATCCAGGGTGTACCCCGCTTCTCGCCTGTTGTCAGGTGGAATAGGCTCCAGGCCCCCCGCCACCCCGTTGGAAAAAAGAAGTATAAAAAAATGGATGGATAGCTTAAGTGTACCTGTGATGAGAGTTACAGGCCTTTCTCATCTTTCTAAGTGGGAGGACTAACACAATCAGTGGCTGACTGAGTACTTTTTAGCTCCACTGTATCAGTAAATCAGCCTGTGCCGTTCAAAACTACAGCTCTGTCTGAAATAAGATGAATTGCTTCAGAAGTGAATAGGTTCTTTTGATAAACCATATCAGCTGAAGGGTAACAATCCCTAAAATTACACTCTTTTAAATCTCCATATCAACCGTCAAGTTAGAGCTGCTTTATGGCAATGATAATATATCATACAGTTGTTACTTCTCCCGTTTCCCCTACCTGAGTGAATGAGCATGTGCTGTTTGAGGTTTTGAATACGTGTGAATCTGACTCCACAGGTTGGACATTGAAAGGGCCGGTCAGGGCCGTTGGAGCCGGGCCGGGCTGACGGGCTTATATAAAGGTGGTATGGATACTGAATTCCCTCCAACCTGCAAAAAAGAACAAGGATCTAAGAAGCAATCACCATATAAATGCCATCACTGTTCTTTGTTACTGCTGAGACTTCTAATTCCTCCTGACGTCACCGGTTTCCAGACATCTGGCACTAAGTGCTGGGTGATGAGGACGGTTTGCGTCAGTTGTTTGACATCTCACTACAAATTACCTGTTTACGATACTGTTCCCTTTCGCATAACATCCATCACCCCTTTTTTAGGCTCCAGGCTTCGACGATAATTAGCCAGCGTTGTTTATGTCATGGGGCATCATCACATGACGTCTACATTTCTTATCTAAACAGGTGTGGCCCAGACGCCGTCGTGAATGCAGCGTCGATATGCTTTTTTAGTGAATCTGACTTGTTGTCGGGGCAAGTTTTGACAAATATGAACAGGTCGTGATACCTTTCGTCATCTTCTGCGTGTCCTGCAGCGCTAGAGGTGCTCTGCATTGACGGCAAGCCCTCTGACACTCCCTCATCCATGGACCCTGGAAAGAGGAGGGAAAAACATTACCTGTGGCTTCATCTTGAGCCGCGTTTAGTAACCCACTTAGGGTCTTTGACTCCATCCATTTATTTACATACTCCAAGAAAAGATGACATACGTTTCCACTTTCTTTCCAGTGGAACTTTTTAGCAAGACGCAGGCTAGGCAGATCTGAGATAGAATTAATAACGCACTGCAACTGTGAATACAAGTTGTGCATGCAGGTGTGTAGAAGTCCCACCTATAGAGGAGGACTGTGGACTAATAAGGAGCTCTTCCTGGACCTGTTCGCTCCCTGGCACTGTCTGCTGGTCACTCAGCGAGCTCTGAGATGCGCTGACCGGCTGCGACGAGGCTTCCTGGACCTCCTCATCGCTGAGGCGCTCCACTTTCACCCTTACGTCCTCCTCCTCTGTTCCCACGGGCGATGACACCGCCTTGGAGCTCTCGCACGTCAGAAAGTCACTGAGCCGACGCGCGACCGCCACCTCCGAGGTCCCCGGGGCGCCCGGCTCTACGCAGCGGGGGCTCTCCGGCAGCTTTGATTTGTCCGAGAGGAACCGCCGGTCGATGCCGAACGGGAACGTCCACGGGAAGGCCAGCGAGGACTCCACGGGCTGGGCGGGGCCGTCCGAGAAGGACGGGGACGGGTTGGGGATCTGGGGGGAGGTGGTGACTATCTGCGCGGTGCCTTTGAGCGGACTCTCCGGGGACGCCATGGTCACGAAGCTTTTGCGTTTCCGCCGCGACTCGCGGCATATGGGGACGTTCCGCTCCATCACGCTGCAGTCGGAGGACACGGGGGACACGCTGCCGTCCAGCGGCGTCAGGGCGCAGTTGGACGAGGCGCTCTCCGCCGCGGACTCGTGCGGCTTGTCCGCCGTCAGGTTGTTGTTGTTGTTGTTGCCGTTGCTCGGGCTCCACAGGATACTCGACTTCATGAACTCGGAGCAGGTGCTCGCCACGGCGAACATCTGCATGTAGCTGGCTGCCGCCAGCACGTCGATGATGTTCTCCGTGCTGATGGAGAGGGTGGAGGTGTAGGCGTATTCCAGGAGGGGAGCGAAGCCGCTGACCGTCACGTGATGGAGGTCCAACACAAACTTGTCCTCCTCCTCCGGGCGCCCCACAAGCTTGGAGCGGAAGAATTCACTGCAGCAGGCCAAGACCACTTTGTGTGCCAGGAAGAGCTTGTCTTGGACCCTGATGGTGACGTCGCACAAGTGGCCCTCGTTGCGCAACGCGTTGAGCTTCTCGAGCATCTCCTGGCTGTGGGACGTCGAGCTGTGGGTGAAGGTTTTGACCCCCATGCTGGAGTCCCTCTCACCGTGTGCAGCAAATGCGGTCTGCAGAGAGATGGCAAAAAAAACCAGAAAGTTTCAGTTTGCAAAAGGGATCCAACACTAACAGAGAAGAGAAAACATTTTTTGTAAAGCTCTTTTAATTCTTCTGCTTGTAATAGGCAACATAAGTTAATTCAAAGATGACCCAACTCAGCAAACAAATCAAATATGATGTTCTAAAACCCCGACTGGAAATACAGAAACAAAATGAGTTGTCAAACAGAAAAGAGGGAAGGGAAAAAAAAAAAGAAAAGTCAAGCGCACGATGGAAGGGGGTGTACACAGAGGTGCTCTCTACAGACGAGGCAGAGCATGGGGGCTCCGGAGCGGGGTAGGGAGGATAGAATGCCAAGTTATGTAACAACAATCAAAGCAGATGCGCAGCGATGCGAGCCAGACCCATGTGGAGGCCAGTGCGCTGCAGGACACTCAGCAGCTGTCTGAGAGACGTGTGGATTCTCTGAGGCATGAGATTTTCCATCAAACAAAAGCTCAAGTTGAAGGGGGGCTCTCGCAAGGAGAAGGCGCTCGCTGCCACACACAGATCAAAGAAGAAACACTCTCTGGCTACACTGGCCCCCATAAATGCAAAGTGAATTATAGACCAGGGCCGTCGTGGTGCAACAGGAGAGCAACTCGTCTGAACCAGCAAGCAGAAAAGAGCTCCTATTCCACCTTAGGTTTTTCACATGGGGACCATGTTTCCAGTCAGGGAAGGTATTTACAGAATTGGTCTGTTCCAACATTAAAAAAAGACATACTAATTCAAGTATAAAATATTAAAGCGGAACATTTGCAATAAAAAAGAAAAAGCCATCATATAAAATGACATTACTGGAAATAAAAAGCTGATTAAGCAGTTGTTGCCCATTAGTCTACCGCCGAGTTTATTAGTTCCACTATTGATACATTTGTTACACCTTAACTCATCTTTATTTTCTGACATCTGGTTGCTCAACCTGTTTTTTTTTTGTTTGTTTGTTTGTATTTGTTATCAAGTGACCAAAAGCTGTTCTGAAACACGCTACAGAGGGCTGACAGTCAAAGTACGCAGCAGGACTCTGTGTCCATTGGTCCAGATGCTGCATAAAAATGTTTACGATGAGAAAAACCTGTGGCAAACACTGGAGTTGAGACAGTGAAGTAACCCGGGACACGAACCGTTAGTCCGACTCCAACTGTCACAATAAAGCAGGCTAATAGTATTGGCTTCATTTGCGTATAAAACCAAATATCTTATTACAAATACGCATGGGATCCAGTGGTCAAGATAATTCTGTTACAATTAATTAACAAAAAATATATTAAAAGAGGAAAATGTGCGAACAGTCGCAGCATAATGTCAGCTCATACTTCTAATTAGGTATAGTTAATCTGTTTTAATTCAATATTCCATTAGGAATTTAGCTTGTGCAATTCATAAACATACATAAAACGGAAACATGTCATGCTTGAAACATAAAATTGAAATGCCCAATTTATTTTGAAGCCCCGCACTTCCGCTTGGACCGTGGAAAAACTCCCCACGTCTCTCCTCACGAACACAAGCTAGCTACCGATAGCTGTCAAGCTAACGCTACCTGATGCAACACAGGGCATCGAGGTAGTTTACATTTCTCTTGCCCTACCGTGGAACGACAACAGAGACGAGCAAAAGTACGGACAGAAAAAGCCCCGCGTTACCGGGAAACCTCAAACTAACGGAATTTACCTTTCTTTGCGAGGCCTATGATAACGGCTGGGCCCGGGGATGTGAAAAGCTCAGCTGATGATAGGCGGTGAGACAGCGGTGCGCCCTGCCGCTGTGCTCCGTGCTCTCACATTCCCTTTTCTTCCCAGGCAGCTACCAGCCGTGTCAGTCCTATTCAGTCACTACTAATCACCAATAAAATAAATTCACATCACATGAACCCGGCGTTAAAAGTTGCCGAGGTGCTGTTTTTATCCCTTTGTGTTGCCCGCTGTCTTGCCCGTGCTGTATTTTTGCCCCCACAATGCACCGCGCACCCCTCGGTGTACTGTACTGGAGGAATCAGGAAGTCAAAAGATTCGGTGATAGACACAACACCTAAAACCACAGACATATATGTCTTATATTCATTCTTACATTTCAGTATCTCTGGTGAAACCTTCATTATAAGCCTTGGCGTGCCATCAATATTTTTCCTAAACCAAATGACTTTTTCTATAAGTATGTATTTATTTTGAATTTAGTTGTATTGATTTGGATATCAGTATTATGATTTTGTGTCTTGCAACCAACATTTTCAACTGTTTTCACAATAAATTGTATCATTCATACTCTACTTAGTTTTAAAAAAGCTATTAAAAGACTCAATCGGCAGATGATAAAACTTCTATAAATGATCTTGCATCTGTCATATTTATATTAATGTTTTCACACGGGAACAACAGAGATTTCCGTAATGAGATGACAGTTTAGCCTTGATTGAAAATCTCTGAAAAGACTCTGGTGATACCATTTATGTGTTAAAAGTGTTTTTGCCTTTGAAGTTGTATACTCATCTCATACTTATCCTATAGAATAATTTATATATTTGGCAGACGCCTCATCCAAAGCGACTTAAAACACACATTACAATTGTGGTAGGCCTAGGGTAGCATGCAGGGCCTAGACTGGGGCCCCTAACTGGATCTTGATTATGTATTGCTGCATGCATAGAAATGGGACATACTAATTTGAAGCGTCTGTCTATGAGTATTTTGATCCTAAAGCCTTGGTAGTGCAGAAATGAAACAAGGAACTCTTTGTGGCACAGGGGGGTTAATTTCCTGAAAAAAATAAGACTGTCTTGTATACCTCAAAATGCTACCGAATATGAGATTTTTTCATATAACAAATTTCACATGCTATATTTTAATATATATTACATATTATGGTAGCAGTTAGTGTTCTCACTTCTCAACTAGCATGGTTTTATGAGAACATTCCCCTTCTGTAGACCAAAGATTTACAAGTTTTTGTCATGTTACCTTCTGTCTTTAACTGGGTGTCTTCTGTCTTTAACTGGGTGTACATTCTGGGAACATTTAGAAAATGAAGTGGTCACATATGGCATATAACCCAACCCTCAACAACCTTTTATAAAGACCACCATCTTTAACGGAAAATACCTACATTATCTTCAAGTGACTTGAAAAATGTGGCTCACAGTTTGTGACAATATTGCTGAAGTTAGTTGGGTTTTCAGCATTTCTTTATGCACTACTTTGATTATTTTCTTTTTCAGAAATTCCGTTGTAAATCTGCTGCCATGTTTTGATATTTGTCCTGTTCATTAGCTAGTTTCAGCCAAGTTTTTGCTGTGAGACAGATGTCCTCACATTTTACTCTGAATACTCATGTATCCAGAGGAATTAATGGTGGACTCAATGACTGCAATGTCAAGTGCAAAACCAGCCCAAATCATCATAACCATACCCTGGTAACGGCTTGTTTGAGTTATTTGTGCCTATATGCTGTTCTTGGTTTTCTGTGAATTCTGATCATACATCTCCACCTTTGTCTGGTCTGTCCAAAATACATTGTTCCACAAGTCTTGTAGTCGATTCAGATGCCTCATAGCATACTTTCATTCTGGGTTTCTTCTGCCCCTCTTCCAAGAAAACCATGCTCGTTCAGTCACTTTCTAATCTGATTAGCATGATTTTTAACATTTAACATAAGGAGTCTGAGAAATTCAATTTTTCTAAAGTTTCACAGAAAATTTGACAGCCTGACTTTGGGAGGAATATTCTCTCTTGAACCACACCATCCTGCAACTAAACTAATATATTGGCAATTTTAAGACTTGTAATCATTATGATGTCACTGTTGTTATCTTCTAAGTGAGGCTTCCTCCCTCAGCCTATTTGGCTGCCGTCATTCCTGACTCAGTCTGAGCTAAGACGTCTTTCAGTGTTGTAACATCTGTTTTGAAAATTGTGGGGGAGCCAGTCCGTAAAATCAGCAGTGAAATCCGCCAAATGGAGTCTTTTAATTGCCTGTCTCCTTAAAAGCATTCCATAAGTCTGGCCATTTGGGCTGTTTGAGTGCTCTACCGTATTCTAAAAGCACGCTCTGGATAACCTGGAATACATTAAAATGCATTAACTACTTAAGTTATAAAGGCTTGGTGTACAAAAAAAAAAAATGTTTCAGGGAATTTATACTGCTCACGTTGCACAGTGTTCTTTTTAGCTTTGACTTGCACATTGATGGAACAAGGTACTGACATAAATGTATTTATTTGACCCTTTTATTAACATAAAACAACTCAAAGACAGTGGCTGCTTACATATTTGAAAAAACCTTACAAAAATAAATAGTTTCAAAAGCTGTTATATAATAGCATGGTCCTTCATTGAAGGGATATAAGCTTAATGAGCCATCTATTCCACATTATACTGTAAATTAACAAAAGGAATGAAGGAATCAAATATACATACATGATACATACAATAATTATAAGTGTTTTCATGTGATGCATTAACAAAGTCTGGAAATGAATGAAATTCTAGTTACATTTATAATAAAATACTAAAAATATATTTGTCAATTCATCTAGTAATAACACTTCCAAAGCCACATTTATTTCGGGGGAGAAGATTTGCACATCTGTTCCTCTTAATTAATTTATTATACACAGGGATAGGTTAGAACTACATGATCAGGATAGGATAGGATCAGACTGTAATGACTAAATTGTCATGATGGAGAAGTTGACTTCACAGAAGGATAAAATCAAACCAGATTTTGTCATTTCAAAACATCGAGCCAGGTCCTGAACCAATCTGCTTTAATAGATGGTATCAAAAATTGGACTCAGGAAATGGTTTACTCACCAAAAGCTTGAAAGCTTAGAATAAAAACACTTCACACAAATGACATTTGTTCGCCGTTACACAGGGAAACAATCACACATTGTAAATACTTACCTAAACAACAGGTAAATTACTTGATCAAAGTATTTGTATTTGAGTTCTTTGGAGGCCATTTGGAGTTATATATACACTGTTTTGTTTTTCCACCGCAGGTTTCATGCTAATGTTCTAGTCTCACTGTGGAAGAAAAAATACCAATTGTACTAAGTGCCATCCCCAAATTTAGTTTCTATGAAAGCAAGACTAGAAAACTGCTCAGTCCGAAGAAAGCACCTCCTGGAACATGGCATTTTCAACTAGAATCTATACATATAATACATCTTGAGGTAGATTTAAAGTAATATTTCATTTCAATAGTGGTAATAAAAGCCCTTTATGTCTCTTGATGCAACCATCTGTTAACATGGAAAGATTTTAATATAAAAGGTTTTTAACAACACATACATTTGTACGGCCTCTTTCCTTCCTACTGTGCACGTAAAACACTAAAAGAATAATGATTACTGCCATATGAAATTTTGCAGATCAACCATGAACTTTAGGAATCCAAGAGACATAAAACTTAATCAGTTTTACTTTGTAGTTGCTTTGAATCTCTGAGGCTACTGTACTCGTCCCGTTTGTTTTGAACACTTTTTGTCTATTTCGTGTGAATTTTTGTTGTTATTTGTACTCCTGGGCTTGTTGCCAGTGCAGCCTACTCAGTAATCCAACCATGTACGGTCAGAACAGAATTGGGAAATGTTCACCGTAAATCATAAGCAGTCCTGGTTGTTACATTCTCCAGACACGGGCTCCGGGGTTTTCTTCGGATCGCACTTCTCCGGCTCGATAGTCTTTCCAGTGTAGTCTATGCAGAAGGTGCTCCGCCGACGCTCCCCCTGGCCACAAGTTCGTGAGCAGGCCGACCAAGGCCCCATCTGCCAAATGGGACACGGCAGATCCCCGCAGGGCCTGATGTCCGTGGGCTTTAGCTCTTTGTCGCAATGGCCGGATGGGAATCCCTCACTGTCTCGGCATTCCACGCTCCTCCTTGACCACCCAAAGCCACAGCTCTTGGAACACTCTGACCACTCTCCAAGCACCCAGTCAGGCACGCCGAAGGGACTGATCATGTGCAAAGACGGGTAGGAATCCTTCTTTTCCTTGGGTTTGTTGAACGTTACATCTCTGGGGATGAAGAAGGTGTATTTCACCTTCGGGGGGTTGACGTCCCCCGCGGTGGCCAGGAGCTGAACGACGATGACCTCCTTTAGCTGTTGGAAGCTCTGGATCCTTTCTAATGTTGTGGAGGAGCCGCTGTACTTTAGGACCGCCCCCAGAACGGGAATGTCCTGCTCCACCGTAGATACGGAGAAATTACCGTTGAGGATGTACGCGCCGCTCTCCCTCTTCACAGCCAGATAGTTTCCATCGTGTTTGATCCCTCTGTGGCTACGCTGCTTAATGTCGATGTTTGTGGCTCCGATGGGAATTGTGACAATGTCGCTGTATCCAAAGCTGTAGGGAAAAGGAAAAAAAAACTGATTGAGGAAATCTCTTGCTCTTGATTGACTAGTTAGCTTAGCAGTTTTGGTGTGTGGATTTGCTTTCTGAAAAAATTAGACTTATAACAATGACTGTCTTTTCATGTTAAGCACAAAGCTAAACAGGCATTAATAAGCATAAACAGATTTTCCTTTGCCTCTTTTTTAAGATGACCTGTGTAAATTGCCTTGGATAGTTAGTGTCTGGTTATGGTTTGCACAATTTTAGTTCACACAATTGAAAAAAAATCTTATAGATGAGCTAACCGATTTTTTTCCTTTTTTTCCAAAAAGTATGAAAAAATATATACATAATTATATAATGATAATAATAATAATAATAATATAAATTTTGCCATCTAAAACAACTCAAACCTAAAAAATCATGGATTTTTGGCAAACATTTTATACGTTACAGTAGTTATGATACATAAATTAGAGAAAGCATCAATGATGGCTCTGTCAAATGACAAAAATTACTTTAACAACACCAGCGAATCTACAAATCCTATGTTTCTTTTCTTACATTTCTTTGTTGTAGGAGCCTGTGATCTTCCGACAGCTGAGTCCATTCCCTCCACACACTCCACACTTATCCACCCTTTTGTTGGATCCAATCACCTGGTCGCAGCCTGCTTTTACACACTGGCCTTGAACACACACTGATGTTGTATCAGGACCACAGGTCGTCCCGTCAATGACCTGCAGGGGGAAAAAAACCCTGCTGGTGTCATTTCAGGTGTAATTAAACCCCCTATTAAGAGCCCATTGCAGACACAGAGCACTACTGAATGTGTGCACATACAATTATGTAAATGATTAAGTGCATATACTGTACCTTGGATTCAAACACCTTAAATTCACTGCTTCCTTTGGCCCTGCAGAACAGCTTGCATCTGTCTCTGGGAGAAACACCGGCATACTTTGGAATCCACTGTTTGATATTTCCATGGTGGTCCATGTAGTTGGGGCTGTTGTACTTCTCACACTGCTCTTCCCTGAAACTTTTACCTTTAGAAGAAAGACAAAATAGGACATAGCAATGACTTATTAAAACATTCCATATTCAGACTACTTCATCTAGTTCATTTTTAGATTTATAGAACCATACTGGTTAAGAACAGATTGTTCATGCAGCATTAGGTGTACCAATCTGTTATTAGCCTTTAGCATTAGTTACTGTGCCAAGAGAAAATGTTCATTTGGCAGACAAATTTGTTATGTATTTGATCATTTAAGTATTTTTTTACTCAAACAAAATGTATGTAAAATGTCATTTCTAAATGTGCGTAAAGATATGATTATTTCATCATTCTAATGATTATTAAATATTAAGTCAAGTATTTTTTTTACAATATTGAATAAATGTTTAATGTTTTAATGTGCAAAGTTGTTTTTTTTAACCATAGTGTGCAAATGCACATTCAGTGGAGCCATCAATATTTTTGTTTAAGTGTTGAGGAGTGGGGAAAATCCCAGTTTAGGACCCAGTGTTCTACATTAACGCAATTCACATTAACACGTTTTCATAGTTTTCATTTCCAGTTATGAGGTGAACAAGGCAGTTTTCAACTGAAGAGCATAAACAACAGCAAATGTGTCCGATTTTTGTACCTCACACGGGCACAAATAATGTATTAAAGCAGCTTTCCATGTATAAACAACTGCACATAAGCAGTTGCTTTTTGAGTTTTTTTCTCTCCTGCTGTTGTTGGTATAATGTTAACTATTAGACCAAACTATTTGTTACTGGAGCTTTGCTTCTATAGGCGTTTAAAAATCATCCAATGAAACAGGCTATGCATTTAAAACTTCCATTTGATGGTTAACAAAATATATAACTCACGCTGCCCTTGAGCGGTAAATGTCCAATACAAAAAGAAAATGTATCTATATGACCTGAACTTTGAAGAATTTCAAGCGAACACATAATTTGCTTAATACTATTTGCTTAATTTACTCCATCTGCATGAGCTCTGCTGGGAGGACAGGGTGAGTTCAATTTCATCATCCCAACCAGAGATCAGGCTCTGCCAGGCTTCGCCCAAACATCTGTAATACCAATAAATCCCAGCTGGATTTGCCGCCTATTTCTGAGCCTCAATCAATCTCCGCCGGCAAAACAGAGCAACAGACCAAGAGAGTGAGAAGTAGAAGAACAACAATTGCCTTTTGTTTTAACTGCAGCCTTTGCAGGTGAATCACTGTCATCCACATTTGTCAGTTACATGCAAATACATGCTTCGACACAGCTGACATAAAGTCAATATTAGAGCTAAAACTATATCCCCATCCCGACATATAGGCTGGAATTAACCCTGTAATGCCAAATGTATCATATTTGATACATACGGTTTCTGAAATGTTTTGCGTCTGACACCTTTTGCATAATTTAATGGTAAAAACTTTGCTCAAAATCCTATTGTACACAGTCAGATACACCTGATAACAGGGGGAAGAAGACTACACAAAAAATTATCTTCACTTATCGCATAGTAATAAATTATTAATATTACAAATGTATTTCTGTTTTTTCTTTTTTACATATTTTGTTAAAAGGGCAAATAAGGAATTCAAACCAAAAAAAAAGTCATTTTCTGTGTTGTTTTATTCTCGGATCAGGCTTTAAAGGGTTAAATCCGTGAATAATATCCATCATTGCTTACTGTTATCACACAAAGGTTTATCTATATATTCTGAATACAGTGGAGGTTATAGAATATTTTTCTTCTCCTGGTTGTGCATGCAGTGAAAGGTGTCTCACTCCCTCTCACCTTCACTGCTGTCGCACGGCTGTGTGTTGCAGGACTGGTACTGAACCCTCTGTCCCTCACAGTACTTCCCCCCGTTCTGAGGCACGGGGTCGGTGCATTCCCTGTAGGAGAACTCCACCCCGCCTCCGCACGTCCTGGAGCACTGCTGCCACGGCCCCCACGAGCTCCAGCCGCCGTCCTCACCCATCTTTTTTTGTGCAAAAACAAAAAACAAGGAGGGGTCAGTGGAGTTAGTACGATCCCCAGAAGCCAAAAGGCCAACCTCAGCCCGTGGAGGCTGAAACCACAGTCTGGGATTCTGGGGTTTTAGCCGCCACTTAGTGTGCAAGAATTCGTGTTGAAGTCCGGCACGCGTCCGCTGTCTGCCTCTGCCCACATCCCTGCCACATGTGTCACTCACCGCTAGCAGAGCCTGACATGCTGCAAACCTTTCTATTTCAGAGCCGAAAGTGCATGCTTTTGTTCGTCTGGGGGCGTGCTTTCCAGAGGTTTTATGAATTTGGACCGGCCGGAGTCTTAACCAGCCAGCACGTCTGGACTCATAAACAGATGTGTGTGTACGTAACACACGGAGAAGATATCAAGGCGGCCGAGTTGAAATGAAACATCGAGATGTTTAACTGTCTTTTACATAAAAAAACATACAAAAGCACCATAAAGCTGCTGTTTTTCCGATCAACAAAGTTAAAGAGAGCTGTGTAAGCCCTCAGTTCTTCCACTCAAAACTGCACACAGCAGTTATGGTGGAAAAAAAGGACAGATCTCCACAAAGTTGACACTTTAAAATGGCTGATGTTTTTAATGAGTAGTTCATTCAGATATTTAAGTTGCCATGTTGGTGTTTATCTCAACTTTATGCTTCGGTCTACACATATGTTATGGAGTTGACTTCTAAATAAATACTATCCCTTTTGGGATTAATAAAGTACTTTGAATTTAAATTAATTGGGGTTAAGGGGGGTCAAAATATACCCTGGGCAGGTGGCCAGTCTATCAAAGTCTGTGTTTTTAATACCTAAAAAACGTCCATGAAACCTATCAATTTACGAAGCAGACCAACAGCTAATGAACACCAGCTGTGAGTTACAAATGTTTGTTTGGTCCCTCACAAAAAAGCTAAACTATACTGGTCACACCGGACAGACAATTTCAGTGGAATAAAATCCCAAGAATGTGTTGCTTCATCTTGGTAGCTACCAACGTATATCATCCTGCAGTACTATAATAATCTGAATTTAACCCTATAATGCCAAATGTATCATATTTGATACATACGGTTCCTGAAGTCTTTTGGATCTGAGACTTTTTGCATCATTCAATGGTAAAAGCTGTTGTACACATTCATATATACCTGATAACAGCGAGTAGACGACTACACCCAAAAATATTTTTGACTTATTGCACGCTAATTTGATCAAAATAATTTATGTTTTTTTCTTCAAATGTTGTTGAGGGTCCAAGGAAAGACTTCAGACTAAAAAAATCAGGCTTTAAAGAGTTAATAACACTCTACCTTTTTTTCACATTAGAACAGATAATGATATATTTGTCACATAACCATCTCAACGTCCCAACAATCCACAATTTTTTTAATTCTTGCCGACACACCCACTCCTGAAGGTTGAGAGGTAGTCTGTCGAATATACTGCCCTACGAAACCAAACCAATGAACGAGCAAACAGAGCCAAGATTGGATAACATGACTTTCCTACAGTTTCTGATCGCAGTTCGAGGCTAGAGACGACTTACCATTGGCTGCATCACCTCCACCGTGGACTTGCACGCTCCGTTGAGGCAGGTCCCGTTGGGGCGGCAGGGGGTGCCGTCGGCCCAGGGCAAGCTGCTGTTCTTGGTGGAGCATTGCCACGTGCCGTCCTCCTGACACCACAGCTGTCTGCAGACGTCGCTGTCCGAGATGTTGGGGCAGAGGACGAACTCCTCTCCGAAGATCTGCTGGCACTGTTGGTCCACGCTGTACTTAACCCCCGGGAGCTCTTTTGGAAAAGGCATCGTACTCTCCGGGACATCAAGTAGACAGTCCCCTGTAATTAGAGTACAGATACAGGGGTTGGACAAAAAAACTGAAACACCTCTCATTTTAGTTTGGGAGGTTTCATGGCTAAATTAGACCAGCCTGGTGGCCAATCTTCATTAATTGCACATTGAACCAATAAGAGCAGAATGTGAAGGTCCAATTAGCAGGGTAAGAGCACAGTTTTTCTCAAAATATTGCAACGCACACAACATTATGGGTGACATAACAGAGTTCAAAAGAGGACCAATTGTTGGTGCGTGTCTTGCTGGCGCATCTGTGACCAAGACAAGTCTTTGTGATGTATCAAGAGCCACGGTATCCAGGGTAATGTTAGCATACCACCAAGAAGGACGAACCACATTCAACAGGATTAACGGTGGACGCAAGAGGAAGCTGTCTGAAAGGGATGTTCGGGTGCTAACCCGGATTGTATCCAAAAAACGGAAAACCACGGCTGCCCAAATCACGGCCGAATTGACGCTGTATTGGCCGCAAAAGGAGGACCTACACCATACTAATAAAGTATTGTGGTCCAAAACCGGGTGTTTCAGTTTCATTGTCCAACCCCTGTACATTTATAAGCAGCACTCTTACATCAGTATAACATTTAGAATGTCTTCGGAATGGGGAATGACATCAGAATTTCTGGGAGAACATTCCCAGCCGCATAAGTCCTTTGGATACATTTTTTTAAACTGATAAAGAACGTTTTTTTTTTCGCCAGCTGTTGCTTTTGGCCGCAGCGGTCGTGAGCAGGAAAAAGTCCATACTATGACTCAATGGAAAAAAAGATTCGCTGATAAGTCTAGCGAGAGCACAAATAATACAAGATACACAACATGTCAGGGGAGGGAGCTAAAAAAAATAAGAGGAGCATGACGACAGGAGGTAAAAATCTATCGCAGTTTGAGGGGAAGAAGCATGTTCAAGCAGGAAGGGCGGATCAGAACAACACTTTTTTGCACATCTCTGAATCATCCCGTATGATAAAGTCGCTGTTTTGTTGGCAAATGCCCACCTTGCCTCAACATTGAGCTTGAGCTTGAGTAGTAATCCGTAAAAGAATATTCCTCACCATGCCCGTTGTCAAAGAACTCAGTGATGTAAAGGGCACTGCAGGGAGACCAAGGCATGGTTTTATTAAGGCTGACAAACAGAGGAGCCATCAGGTAACTTCCTCCAAGGTCTCCAAACAGTCTCTCACAAGTCTTGGAGTCATCATGGGGCATACTCAACACATGGCCTGCAGGAACACATGAACGAACAGTAAAGTGTCACACTTTGAAATCTGAAAACATACTGGTATTATATCATCATTACACGATTATCAATTATGGACAAACAACATATAAATATATATGGATAGACAGACCGACAGTCAGACAGACAGATAGAATTATTTAAAGCCCAATAAATGACACCAAATATGACCTAACCGAGTTCATGTGCGGCCGTGAAGGCAGCTTGCAGGCCGTTGTCCTCAATAACCGAGCAGCTTCTCTTGGGGTCACACATGGTCCCAACGTCGGCCACGCCCAATGTGTCACAGCTCATCTTTCCACAGATGTCCTGCAGGGGAAAATGACACAGGAAAAATTGGGTCAACCTAAGAACGTGAAATTAGAAACTGAATAGAAAGTGACCACAGCCATGACTTTTTGAGCTACTGGGTTTGGTCACCACTTAGTTGTGCGTTTTCTCTCTTTGACAGGCTGACTTTACGGGACTGTCTTCTACATTCACACCAGTGTGTGGTCGGACCTTTAGAGTTCATTTAAGGACTACAAGTAGGGCCAAACCAGATTGATTCTACATTGAAGATCGTCACTTCTACTATAGTTACTGCTTAAAGCTTGAGCTTTAACACTGTGACATGCAATGAAATAACTACATATGAGGCATTGCTAAATTAATTTTTATACTCATTAGCACCTATTTTTACAGGTACCAGAAAACATCCCCCCATTGTCTGTACCACTTATTTCGAATACAGTCGCAGGGAGTCTGGCAAATGTCCAAACCGAACACGTAGGGAGTCAAAGCACAAGACATGATATACTTGGAGTCCATTGGCAAAGCTAGAAACTGTACAGAAAATCAAATAATTAGCTATAAGTTTTATTGTTCAGAGGTTGCAAAAGCAAAAAATGTATTATCTCACTGTTGCTTGCCTCTGCTTGTTTAAACTAACAAAACACCATAACACAGTCGTATTGGAAAGTTCCTTCTCAAGGCTTGTCAGAATCATTGAATTGGAGACAAGTACGGCTGTCTGGGGAAGCATGCTTTACCAAATAAGTTGTTATTTACACCCAGACACAAATGCAAGCACACATACAGGTTCCAATGGTCTGCAACTACCTTTGCTTATCATCTCATTGTTCCTCTGAGGCAGTGGCTTTAGAAATGTAATTCCACAACAAAAATATTTGCTATGGACCCCTAACATACAATTGTTTTTTTCTGTTTGAGATGAATAAATAAGTCACAAAAACCCAGTCAGGAATGGCGTGAAACATTTGAATAGCAGTGACATGTCTTCTTGTAAAAAAAAACAATCCAGTGGTGTATGAAATGTCAGTAAAAATAAGAAAATACTGGGAAAAAGACGCATTTAATAATGCAACGTAAGTGGATACCATTAATCCTACCAGTCATCAAAACAGGATAAAAGATGATCTCTAATCAGAATCAACAGATGCCGCTAAAGATCCACCAATTCCTCAGTGAAGACCTGTTGCTGAATTGCATCTGCGCGATGGAAGACAAACATTTCCACTGGAACTAGACCAGGGTTTCACTCAAACAATGTTATTCACATCAGTTCAGGATCGGTCAGAGAAGCAGAAGACAGTTTGATGTCCCTCGTGGCATTCCAAACCCGTGAAAATACACATTACACATAAAGACTTAACTCAAAATGCGGTTTGGAATATCGAAGGGTTCAAAGTTGAAGAGTTTAGCTTGTGTAGAAGGAAATCTATTTGTGGCTCGGCGCGACTGTTATGTCGATCACATGAGATGACAAACTTAGTGTACATGTTAAAAACGTACAGCGATCCACAGTGTGGCCGTTTTGTGCGGTGGAAACAAATCTGTCCCCGCCCGAGAGGACGGCCGGCCACGCGAGATGGAGACGGATGCATCCGTGACCTCGCCTCAACCTCCTCACCAAAAAAAAAACTGAAAAAGCTAAGGCTGTGATTCAAAAGACATCTGGACTTAAAGCCACGGTTTAAACAGAACTCAGCATGTTTGTACAGCTTGTTCCACAACAGCAACAGTCACCCTGTAACATGCAGCCTGACGTCCCTTAAGTCTGAGATGCACCTTTTTCTCTCAGTGTTACATGATCTGAACTTGGGTTGAACTTGACATCCACTGCCAGAAAGAGCTATCTTGAATTTTTTCTACTTCTGAATAACCTTTCTCGTTGTAAGATCAAAAACTATGGATAGTCTGGAAATTGGCTTTCAGGCTTAATGGGCAGCATCAATCCTTAGTTAATGTGTTAAAACACCCCTGAATGATCCACAGGAGCAAACGGGTTTTATGAAATTTATCAGCCTTTCTGATGACGAGTTAGGCAAGTGTAATTGACAAGCAGCAACATCCTGCTTTTTAAGAAATCAAATCATATGGATACCGATGAACAAACAATTAACCAGGTAAGGGTGTTTGTAATATCATGTGTAATATCATGTTCTGTGTTACACCAGAAAAAGACTTGAAAAAGTGTTTTTTTTGCATGATGTGGTTCAAAACAGTCCTCGATGCCTTCAAATGCATGAGAAAAATATTTCCACTATATGCAATTAAATGGAATCTCAAGTTTCATGGCTGTAGTATGCAAGGCATTAAGTTTTAGCCCTAAATCAGCAGTGTTATTAAGCCCTGATCCTTTTAAATGCTTTATCAAGGCAGTCTTAATCTACCTTCTATGCTTTAAAGAATATCTCAACAAGATAAACGGGGAATGTACTAAGGATTGTTCAACCTGATCGGAAGCTGCTTCAAAATCACAGCACAAGAGGCTGAAAAAGCCATGTGTTCCACTCATCATTTCCTCTGGGGTTACAATTACATGCTTTTGTCATATACTCGGAAGATAAATTACCAGCCTGTCATCAACAAAGCCACACGTAAGAGGACTCAGCAATAAAAATGCAATAATAGAGAAGTTACTGAACAAACGTATTGTCAGCATGCACATACCAGATGTCTGCTAAATAAAGCAGAACAGGTCAATCACAACTCAAACTCCAAAAACTTATGAACCTATTTCCTATTTCATAAAGCAGTTTGTTTGCTTCTGCGTTGACATTTGTCCTGGTCGGAAAAGATGATACAATTTTCCATTTCGGCAATAAGTTTTCCGGATCCTTACTAAATAAAGAACTACAAAGACTTTCCTCTCAAGCCTAGCTTTTTTTTTTTTTTAGTCATCGTTTTTTCTATACAACAAAACAAGTTGCCCACATGGCAGTTAGGGCTTTAGAGAAAGGTACTCCCTCACACTGACATCACCAAAAATCCACTCTTGGGACTCCATGACACTTTGTGCCGTTGTGGCTGAGAAACCACATTTAACACCACAGCTGGACTGTGACTGAATTCCACCAAAGCTTATTTCATGACTCATCCATTCTCCATTCACTCCCTTCTAAAATACTGTGTATGACTCTTACGATTGAGAGGGCCTTCCATCAAGACTGTAACTGTAAAATATTTTGTTCGGATATTGGATAATTTTTTTTAAGGCTGTATTACATAATGGTTTTATTTCTGGATTTCCCAAACTTGGATAAGCATTAGTGAGCTCTGATTGAGCACAAGCCTTGGGTTTTTCTCAAATCATACCTCTTTTTTTTTTTAGCAAGGCAACATTTAAGTGTCACACTACTAAATTTTGACAGACACATAACAGAAAGATAAAAGTGACACTACACATATAGAGGGTATAGAGGATTATTTACCAGTTTCTCTCTTTTTAAAATCAATAGAACTTTTTGTCTTTTTTCTTTTTTCTTTTGCAATTACCAAACTTTAACTACTGAGCCAACACTGAGATCAGCAACCCTCTGGTTATCAATATCTGTAACACAGGTACAGGAGGTTTTTATTTGAGCATATAAATATATATATATCCTGGGTTTGTTTACGGATGTTGTTTTTGAAAACTCTTCTGCTGTCCACTGGTTTCCAGTTGGTGATATCCCATCTATGACAGATTACTTTTTTTTTTTCCTATAGTACTACTGTTTTATGCAGATTACTCACAAAAAATATCACCGTGGGTTTATACAACAAAAAACTACTGTGGCAAAAAGGAAAATTTTAAGAATATACCAATAGTTTGTGGACTTCCAATTCTTCACTTCACCAAAATGTGAAGAATTCAAAGTCTTATACCGATGAAAGTATTCTCCCATTGCAGACACAGCCAGATTTGTTCCCCGGTTCTCACCTCTCTGGTGAACAGCATGGCCGTGTCGTAGTGCTCCGGGTGCCTCTGACTGGGCGGGTTGAAGAGCTGCTGCCAGGAGCAGAAGTTCCGCAGGGCCACGCCCCCGATGCCGGACACCTCCGGCCCCACCTCCTCGTCCTCCACCACCAGCATCTTCACCACCACCATGTTCACCGAGTTCTTTATGCTGGGGTGCTTGTACAGCTGGGCTGCCATGGAGATGAGTGTGAGTATGTAGTGCTGAAAAGTAAAAAAAAAGGACATAAAAAAAACGTCAGTCTTTCGAAAATTGACTCACCTGAGTGACATGTGGGCTGTTTAAGTTGTAACCTTAACAACCCACTAGCTATGGTCAAGTACTTTAGACCAAACCTTTCTAGACAAGAGAACAATGTTAACATGGGAGGTACAAACATCTTTTAGAGCCAAGCAGAAAAAATCCAACTACCCTCAATCAAACTCAGGATAATGCTGTGCTATTTGGGAATTGCAAATATAGAACATTATTGGCATTTTTTATCATGTAGTTTCTTATCAGTAGGATATTCAGAATGATATACAGAGGGGGAAATAAGTATTTGACCCCTTGCTGATTTTGCAGGTTTGCCCACTTACAAAGAAATAACTTTAATCATATGTACATTCTAACAGTGAAAGACAGAATCCCAAAGAAAATTCCATAAAATCATATCATATGAATTTATAAAAATTGATAACCATCTGATGAGGAAAAATAAGCATTCTTTGTAAGTGGGCAAACCTGCAAAATCAGCAAGGGGTCAAATACTTATTTCCCCCACTGTAAATGTATACATTTGGGCTGTTTTCCTTATATAATTAATTCACATTCATCAATCAGTTGACAGAAGCCCAGAACCCGATTCAAAATCCCATCTGTGTGAGTAAAACATTTTAAATATTGGTGTCGCCCGTTGACTTTTCCCATCAGGGCCACTGCATATCCGCCTTGACTGGCATGGTGGGTTTGGCAAACTTTTTTTTTTACTCCAGATGCCCTTCCTGGTGCGTCCCTGGCCTTAAGACAGACTCAGGACCAGCCCAAAACACGACGCAGAACACCAAAAAACCATTTGACGTTGCATTGGAGGCAACTGGGAGCTCGTTGTCTTACTCAAAAATACCTCGATGGGCAGCCTTGGACTGAACAACTGACCATCCCAATGTCAAAACCACGCCTAACCCTGAACCACAGCCACCTGGAGGACATTTCAAATGCAACCTATAAACAAAAATTAACAGTTGTTATATACATAATTTATGGCAAGCTACCAGTTGAGGCCAGTTATAACTTTGTCTTATAGTTTTTGCACAGTTTGGGGTCTTGCCTTTTAAAATTGAGCATTTTCTATTATCAGATTCAATGACTAAATGTATCTCTGCTATTGTGGGAAGGAAATCTGATGTCATTACTGCTGTTATTACTAAAAAACAGGGGGATGCATGAATCTGAATATGTACAATTTATCTTTATACTAAATCAGACAATGTGTTGCAACACTTTACTTCTTAAGCTTTAAAATGGCCTTAATAGCTGGACCACAATACATGCATTCCTAACATATATTACATCAGATGAGAGGCATTATCATTTGTATTATGGTGTAATGGCAGTAGGGATGGGCAGAGACAACATAGTTTTAAAAATAGTGTGTGTGCACGTGTGTGTGTTAGGAAATCTGGGATGTGTGTGCTGAGTTTTTCAGAGGCAGACTGATATTTCCTCATAAAAAGTTTTTCCATACAGTCCACACGCACATTGAACCACATGTTGAAATGTGTCTGAAATCTGATTTATTCGTGATTTGTAATGAAAATCCAATATAAGCCCAGTTTATCAATCTCTGGCTTTGCCAGTGTGGCCCTGTGGGTTGTTACCTAAGTCTTATTAGGGAATAGTGCAGAAGGGTTTGGCTGCTGAGGAGTGTTGTAAATACAAAAAAGACTGGCTGGCCGACTGTGCCAAGATCATGAGCTCTGCAAAGTTTTGATTAGGAAAGTCTTTGGTTCTTTGCTTCAGGAGCGGCAAAGCAGTGATGTCAAAACATCATCCTTTGGATTTTGTTCACTTGGAAAATGTGATGTTTTCTGTGGTACGGACCAGAAGAGGATCACTTTTATACAACTCACTTGGTAAAGGCAATTAATCTGATAACAGCTATGAATCTTCAAGCATGATATGGCCATGTTGCCAAATCGTGACGGAGCGCTGAGGAATGTAGCTCAGCATTTTTGACATTTCTTTTGCATGACCTATTTCTTAGCTTGAAGAAAACAGCGAGAACCGTCGATTTCCTCTCTCATCGCTGCCAAAAACATGTTTTATAGCAGGCAGAGAGGCAGAAAGCTCTAGATTCAGTCACAGGATTCCAAATGCAACAGACCGATTGAGACTGTAAAGGGCAAAGATGTGGGAGTCTAAAATGCCAAATAAACATTTTATGATTAAACGTGAGGACAGAAAGAGATATGATGATATCTGACCTTTATTTCATCTCCATAGAAGTGGGTCATGGTCGTGTCAGCTACAACCAGCGTTTCAATGAACCGTGGCGCAGAAACAAATCGTCTCCGGCGAGGTTCCCATCTTGCATCACTGTTTCCGTGCGTAAAACTTCTCCCGTGCTTTTTTTCGGGGCTCCCTTTCTCAAACAGAAACGGACCATCGGAGCTCCCGCTAAATTTCCTCCTCTTGATGACATGCAGCTGCTCCGTGAGGTCGAGTCCCAGACCTCCGCGGACTTTGGGCTCAATTAGATATTCAATCCCGTCCGTAATGAAGGAACCAAAGATGCCGGAGCACAAACTGACAGCCACGACCGAGTTTGGGTCTTGGTCTACGTTCCCAGAGTAAAAGCAGCTTCTCAGCTGTCCTTCGCTCTCCTCTGTCTGGTTCATAAATGTCTGGAGATCCGCGTGGAGGACATTCAGGGCTCCCGAGCCGCTGCGTAAAACGCCCGCATCCCTGGCTCTGATGCGCTGTATGGTGAAGGAAGGCGAAAGAAAGTTGGTGTCCGGGATTAGATTTAGAGTCACGTCCTTACCAAAGGCTCTAAAGGCCAACTTTGGCTGCTCTTCGCTCCTTTTCCAAAAGCGGCCACTGACCCTGCCCTTTACGCGCACAGGTACCACATCCTCCGATTCAAATGGAGCGGCACGAGCGTTGACTAACCAGGGAAGCAAAAGGACAAAACACACAGCGGCACACATCTTTGCCACTGCCTGGACTCAGTAGTGGTAAACTGGTAATAATAAATAAAAAAAGAAAGAAGGCTCGACAAAACAAAAATAAACGTAAATCGTTTCTGTATAAGAACTGGTGCGTCTTTTGCTATCCAATCTTCCTCCGATGGAAAAATAAAGCCAGTTTCTGTCCAAGTCTTTATCAAAGTATGTCGTTCAGCATCAATGTCTGCGATGTCCCTTTACAGAGCTGAGTCCTGTCCCGCTCACATAGGCACCGCTGCAGTCTGGACACGTTGGGGGTATTTATACGTTTGCTCTTCCCTGGACATGCGGGGGTTTATTTTTGATATCCTCACTTGCTGGAAATTCTCCTCCCACTCGCACTTCAGGAGAAGCCTGCGGATAAAACGGATCCAATGAGAATAGGGCAACACTCCCCCCTTCTGAGAAGATTGCTTGACGACCGCGCGCCTATTATTAACTTTGCGTGCTATGTGGCGGCGTCTGGACAACTATTCTATGCATAGCTTTAGATGAGGTCCGCCACTTGAGTTATTTTGGAGACGCGTCTGTGTATGTATAGCATGGTATATAGCCTGTGTGCATATGGCAGACCCCCTCCACTCCCACACACACGCACACACACGCACACATACACACAAACTCACACATAAACGCACACATACACAGAAACGCACACAGGTTGAGGTCTTAGTTCTGACCACATGTCTAATCACACCAGTGAAACAACTAAATACATGAATATGAATCCCAAAGGGAACATTTTTTTTACTGAATGTGTTTTTTTTATTCATTTCCAAGGAAGCGGAGGCTGACAAGACGCATCCTTTTAATGATCATTTTTGAGGATTTCCCCTAAAGGGTTTTGTTCTGTTTCACAAGCCAATAGACATGGTACGCCAGACATCATTTTTAATCTCCCTCTCAACAATAGTTGATGCCAGATGAATGACTGCGCCGATCACCGAGGCGCACTTTGACACATCCAACGGCAAACGGCGCAAGAGGACAACCAACAAGATTCCCAGATGCGGCGTTACTACTCAGGATGACACTAGGTTTCGCTGTTTAGCTTATTTAAATTTTCCATGTAAATATCGCTAGTGTGATGACATGCACTATGTAACTTTTTTGCAAACAAACGTCAAGACCTGGTTTTTTTTTTCCACATTTTCTTTATAAATTAAGTTATGAAAATGTTCACTGAATCTGTTTAAAGGGAATTGGAAATGTCAAATGTATACGCACTACAGTCTTGTTTAGTTGGTTGGTTAGTTAAAATGTTTTTTCTATTTATTTGTTTTTAAAACATGACTATATTCCTTACCTTTAACCTTATTTGTATTATTTGCCCAGACAACAATTCGAAAATACAGCATTTTTATGAACTGTCCAGTGGCTCTGGGGTGGGGGGGATATGCTGTGGAGGGAGGAGGGAGGCGATAGGGCGACGCTGCACCTTCTATCGCACAACAATATGATTTGAAGTTGAAATTGGCTGCCGCGCGGGGCTACGCGCTCTCTGTTACGCACGTGCTCCGGCTTCATTTGACAGGGATCGTCAGTGTTTTGTGCGCGTCTTTGAAAGCCGTGCAGCTCAGGGGGAAGTTGCTGTCCAGTGAAAGATGGGAAATATGCTGCAAAGAAGCGCGGGTGCATATTCTTTCTGAAGACGCCCGAGCGGGGGCCCGGTGCCATCGTGCGCAAACGTGCGTCGGATGAGTTTACATAGAGAAACAGGAGCTAAAATGGCAGTTCTTGTCGGTGTTTTGGTCATGTTCACACAATTTCTGCTTCACGTCAAGTTAACATGTTGCATGGAGATAGACTTCTGCATCCCCGTTCTCCTTGATCATCAGAAGAACGAAAAACATCTGCACCGGCGCTTGGAGCAAAACACTGGGAAACAAGTGGCTTTTAGACTGAGCGCGTTCAAACGGGAATTTTACCTACACCTCACCTCGGATTCTAGTTTTCTTGCATCTGAAAACGTGCAGCAGCCCCAGGGCGAACCCAACGGCTCCGCTGACCTCAGGGAGTGCTTCTACTCCGGTGATGTCAACGCAGACCCCAACTCCTTTGCCGCGCTTAGTCTGTGCAAAGGTCTCCTGGGTGGGTTTTCATTCAACGGCATGGAATATTTCATCAGTCGAGCCAAAAATGAAGAGGACACGTCTAATTCAGTGAACTTTTTGGAAAGCGTGCATATCGTTCGCCGCCGTGAACGCGCTCCTCATCCGGGCATGGACCTTCTCAGCCGGTGTGGAGTTACACCTGACGCAAACTTCACGTTTTCCCTGGAGAAATACAAACACATAAGCCAGTTGGAGATCGATGGCATATCCGAGAACGTCCTGAAATCCTTGGGGAGGTCCAAAAGATTCGCGTCCATACCGAGGTTCGTGGAGGTACTGGTCGTGGCGGATGAATCTATGGCCAAGTTTCACGGCGATGACCTGAAGCATTACCTCCTGACCCTCATGTCGGTCGCAGCCAGGCTTTATAAACACCCCAGCATCCTGAACTCCATCAATGTAGTGGTGGTGGGTTTCATGCTGATAAACGACGCTGACAAAGGACCGAAGGTTTCCAGCAACGCCGCTTTGACTCTGCGCAACTTCTGTTCCTGGCAGAAGAAGTTGAATAAACACAATGACAAGCACCCTGAGCACTGGGACACCGCCATTCTGTTCACCAAACAGGTAGGAGAGAAAGAAACGTGAGGTGCGTTTAGTTCAGGAGCGGTGAGAAAGTACCTGATTATTCTTTACACTCTCCTTTGTCTTTTTTAAACTAGGCTCTTGCTGCACAGTATATTTAAGATAATGCAAATCTGCTTTCCTTACACATAAGTTTGTGTAAATAAGTAAGTCGGCTCTTTCCATACAAACTGCAGAACACAATTGGCTTATTGTCAGCATCTTGGTAAGAATCAGACAAATATTAGATATCCACCTACAATAAAAACTGCTCCATCATGTGCCCATGTTGGTGTTCGATTACATGTAGTCCGGCCAGAGCTGCCAGCTGTTAAACTCTTGTTTGAAATCGTATTTCATAGTTACTGACATCTCTACGTTTAAGTGTGTCATTCCCTCTCCTTACAACAGTCTGCTTTCCATTAGATCGACTTTGGCTCCGACTTGCCATCTGACATACAGCCCCATAGCAACACACACAAACACAAGCATCATGCAGGAGCAAGGAGCAATATTTTATTTACACTTAAGACTGGTGTGCATATGAACGTATATGACTTGTGTCATTGTCCTTGTAGAAAAATGAATGAATGCAGCTGCTGTAATGGAAAATCCTCTTAAAATGTTTCAAGGGGCAAATATGATGGAACACACATGACTGAGAGTTGCTGGTATCCAGTGTGACGCTGAGTTAACAGGTTCATCATTAGCAACTGGTCCAGATTCGCAGCAATTGCTATACGAGCACCAAACAGAAGATGGCAAATGATTAATCTTGAAATGTAGAAGCACCTAAACCTGTTTGACACAGAGTAACTGTCCAGTGGTTAGGTAGCAGTGACTTTGATAACTACTTTGTATAAAGCAGCTGGACAGAGTCCAAGAAAAATGTCCCCATGATATTGTTACCATGACTGCATTGTAATTGTGAGAATGTTGAAAACACCATTTAGCTGAAAGCCTCACTGTACTATGGAACAAAGTGATCAATTATTAAATAAGATAAGGGTTAGCTCAGGGCAGATGGCCGCCCACCCTGAGCCATGGTTCTGCTCGAGGTTTCTGCCTGTTAAAAGGAAGTTTTTCCTTGCCTGTGTCGCCTAGTGCTTGCTCATGGTGGGAATTGTTGGGTTTCTGTAATTAACTTCAGAGTAGGTCTGCTCTGTTTGGAAAGCGCTGTGAGACAACTGTTGTTGAGATGTGGTGCTAAATAAATACAATTTAATTTAATTTAATTTAATCAGATAGACTTTGTTGTCCACCATGTAATAATGACACATTATTATTATTATTACATTATTATTACCATGTTTTTCATTGGGGCTGTACAATGGTGTGGTGGTTAGTACTTTGGTGGTGGACCGGGACCTTTCTGTGTGGAGTTTGCATGTTCTCCCTGTTTCTGCATAGAGTTTTCTCCTCCCACTATTCAAAAACACACATGTTAGGTTCATTGGACACTCCAAATGAACCCCTAGGAGTGAATGTGAGTCGGTGTGGTTATTTGTGTGGCCCTGGGATGGCCCTGTCCTGGTCTCAGCTGAGATAGGCTCCAGCTCCAGCTCCAGCACAATCTGAGTTTCTATCTGTGCCACCAGGACCTTTGCGGGGCCACCACCTGCGACACCCTGGGGATGGCCGACGTTGGGACCATGTGTGACCCCCAGAGGAGCTGCTCCGTCATTGAAGACGACGGTTTACCCTCCGCCTTTACAACAGCTCACGAGCTGGGTAAGATAACTGTTTCTGGTTAGAGCGAACATTTGAATTATGCGTTATTGTTATTATTTGACTTATACTCCAGGTAGACCAGCGGTGTGGTGGTTAGCACTGTCGCCTCAGAGCAAGAGAGAGAGGAAAGGGGGCCTTTATGTGTGTAGTTTGGATCTTTTCCCTGGTTGTATAGGCTTTACTCACCTCCTAGCATCCAAAAATATAGAAATTATATTCCCCGGAGACTCTCAGAGTGAACCTGAGGGTACATGGTTGTCTGTCTCATTCATCTCTGTATGACGAACTGGTGACCTGTCCAGGGTTTACTTTTCTCTCACCAGATTTAGAAAATAGATGTATTTCATATGTATTGTTATTCGGCCACAGAGTGACAAAAAGAAAGAAAAAAGCTACATTTTAAAATGCTACAACGATCCCTGATTATTGTGGGTAAACAGGATAAAAATTTGCCCACTGAGAAAAGAAAAGATGCTCAATATTAAAGATATAATGTGTTACATTGCACAACATCAATTTAGACTGGCACATGAAAGGACTGCTTTAAACTGACTAGCTAGTTTTGGTGGCTTTATATCAGAGATTTCCAAAGTGTTGATGCCCGTGTGACAGTTTCTGATTGATGGCTGCCTAAAAAACTAGCACCAGACAAGCATCACAACCTTTCTACTGTTAAACAGCTATAATGAGACTTACCAATTAGGTTGCATTTTATTCACAACACTACAAACACTTGTGAGAAATGAGCAAAGATCAATTGTTACGTTCTATAAACGAAGAACTCATTGTAATATTTATTAGTGTTATAATTGTGTTATGTGATATCATAATGGTTTGATGTATTGTGACTGGGCACACCTACCAAGTGTTCTAGCATTTTACTTCTAAATTTGAATGAATTTATCCTAAGTTGAAGAAAAAAGCTTTGAAATATTGTGTAACTTATTTCTATAGTTAGATAACTGTGTAGATAACGCGTGTTCGTGTTTTATACGTCCACAAAAATGTCGGACACAAAATTCTTCTCTCATACAGGTGAGTCTGAAAAATTGTGTGGGTTGGCATTGTTTGTGTGTGAATATTCATCTAAAAGCTGTGAATACAACTCAGCTTCTGTCTCACACTTTTTATTAAATAATAACCAATGACTGAACCATCGTTTCAAAATAATGATCGACTGTTTTAGGATAGTCTGCATTGGCTTCTACACAAACAGCGGCAGCAGCACCTAAAGGCTTTTATAGAAAAAGAAAAGTTAACAAAATAGTTCTGCATTAGAAGAAATATAGACTAATTGTATTGAAATTATTATTATCTAGCGGTGATGGTTTACCTGAGCTGATAGCTTAGCCTCTTCTGGGTGATCAGACCAATAGATATGGGTGTGCTCATTGAAAATTTACTTCATGTTGGACACTTCAATTTACAATCTCTTTATTTAAGTCATTACTCATATCTTACGACTATTAGAAAGGATATGAGCACTGATCAAAAGGTAAATCAAGACTTTTATTTTATTTTTACTTTTATTATTCTTCCACTTCAGACAGGAACTACCGGTTCAGAATGGTCAATCCACTATATTCTGACCAAGAACTGTGGCCTCAGACTTTAAGGTGCAAACTCTCATCTAGGGTCATCTTTGAACTTGTTCCACCTACAACGAGAAAGAAAGACGCAATCCTGAGCACACCAGAATCTGTATTAGATAAGATCGGAGCAGAGGTGACCACCTTATGTATGGAGGTTCTTCAAAAGCAGAGTGTTTCAGGTCTTCTTCTATGGTTCATTGTCTGCCAGCAAAGCCAAAACACTCACTTGGTTTATTCTACTGGAGTAATCCGATGAAACAATACGTTTCCAGTGAGTGCTAGACTGTGCCAGGCTTACCATTGCTCTATATTCTGTTGCAATCATAGCTATAACCTTTGTAAACATTCCCAAGACAAATTGTTCTGACAAAAATGACAATGAAACATATTTGAACCGAATATCCTTCACACTCTTTTGAAAAAAATATCTTACTAATAACAGTTGAAATGGCCAATCTTAATTCATCCCTAGAAATGAAAAAAGAAAGACAACTTGAAACACCCTGAATGCAACCTGCACTGGTTAAATGATGTGTTTAATAGCTGGCTTTAATAAGATTCTGATTGTTCTTTGACGTTCCTTAGACATGGCTCTTAGCTTTGATAAATGATCCGTAAATAAGATGTGGCAAATACAAATGCTCAAATGAATGAAAAAGCTTGAAACAAACTAGTTTAAATAATGAACTGTTAGGCCCTGAGTTAAGTGCTTGTTTATCAAGTATAGAGCGTCTGGATTAAAACAGTCCCGGTAATGAGTGAACATATCAAAACCTGTTTTTGCTGATTTGTTTTTCTGCTATGTAATACGCTGTGGGTAATTTATGCAATGCTGCACTTGCCTGTGTAATACTTAATTCTCCTATGCCTTTTATATACTGTTGTGCCTAATATAAAAAAGATATTCTAATAGAATATAACTGTTTGAGACAAGAATTTTCACACTTATCTAAACTTGGAATTTTAACCACACCTTTATAATGTGTTCTGGATTCTACTAATTCTAGTATTCCACTGAGAACACAAGTATTTTTATCTGGCAAACCCTGATCTGTCTCGTGTCTCTTTTCACCCTGCCCCCACAGGACACGTCTTCAACATGCCCCACGACAATGTGAAGGCATGTGAGGAGGTATTTGGGAAACTAAAGGACAACCACATGATGTCTCCCACACTGATTCAGATAGACAGGAGCCAGCCCTGGTCTGTGTGCAGTGCGGCCATGATTACCGAGTTCCTGGACAGGGGTCATGGTTAGTAAACACTTCCTGAATGGGGTTGTGAATTCTGCCCGGATACCATAACCCAGCCCTCAGCTGTTAGCTTTTAACCCGTTCCTCTCAATAAAAATAAGCAAACGTTGCCCCGTTCTGTCACGTGTTTGTTAGGTTAAGCGCAATTTTTATTAATGAATATTCCTTGATCTGCTATTTTGGTCCCTTTCACTTTGTAAAAATAGAAGCTTGGATCTCACTGCCAAAACAAGAGGAAGTCTCCTCTAAACTACTCTTCCAACATGTTCTGACAGAAGATATGTTGTCATCTCATATTTTCTAAACTGCACAGGTACAATATAATTACATTCAAACCCAAATGATTAGTTCTGATGCCTAAACCTAACAAAGTTGGGAGTGCAAGCTTAAAGTCTTGCCAACTTTACCTGTACACCACCGTTCCGAATGGGGCTTTGAGGATTGTTAAAACTTATCTCCCAAAATCGAGGTGAGGATTACTATCCTTGAGGATATCAGGATCAGAATCAGAAATACTTTAATAATCAAAGAGGGAAATTATTTTTGTAATTAACTCCAGAAATAAAACAACAACATATAAATATATACATTGTCTATACATATATACATAAATATATATATACAAAATTCCACACAGATTATACATAAATATATACATAAGTAATTATATGTATACATATATAGGTCTAAAATAAGTGATAGTTATATTACTTAAAAATCAGTGAGTTTGGCCTGAAAATATGGAGACTGGTTGCTTTTTTTAACCAAAACATCAATATTTTTTTTTTGTTACTAACTCCAGAAATAAAACAACAGCATATACATGTCTATACATATATACATAGATATATATATAAAAAATTCCACACAGAGTATACATAAATATATACATAGGCTAAGTAATTATATGTATACATATATAGGTCTAAAATAAGTGATAGTGATATTACTTAAAAATCAGTTAGTGGTAAGTTTGGCCTGAAAATATTGAGCTTGGTTGCTTTTTTTTAACCAAAAAATCAATAATTTACTATAAGAATAAGTGTTTAGATGGAGTGGCCGATCACCAGCCGGAAAATGCGGAAAACTCCCGTCACGTCGATGTCCACCACTGGCCATTCGTATCTCTAACGTCTCGTGTTTGCAGGAGACTGTCTTCTGGATCAGCCTCAGAAGCAACTATCCCTCCAGGACAACCTACCGGGCTCCAGCTACAGCCTGCACCGGCAGTGCGAGCTGGCCTTCGGCCTCGGCTCCAAGCCCTGCCCCTACATGCAGCCCTGCTCCAAGCTGTGGTGCACCGGCAAAACCCGCGGGCAGTTGGTGTGTCAGACCCGCCACTTCCCCTGGGCCGACGGCACGGGGTGCGGCAACGGCCAGCTCTGCTACAGAGGTTCCTGCACTCACAAGAACGCCACCGTGCAAATCAAGGTGAGAAAAGAGAAATCTCACATCTTTATCCTATTTTTCGCTCTTATTAAAGAGGGATGGAACATTGATTCTTTTTTTCGTTTCTCAGGTGGATGGACGCTGGGGGAAGTGGGGTGCCTTTGGAGAGTGTTCCAGAAGCTGTGGCGGAGGAGTTAAGCTGGCCAAGAGAGAGTGTAACAACCCTGTCCCTGCAAACGGAGGAAAATACTGCTACGGCCAGCGCGTCAAATACAGCTCCTGTAACCTAAACCCTTGTCTTGAAACAGGTATGTAAACCACTTTTATAGAAGACTTGCCTGTATATAGATGATATATATAAATATTCATATATATTATGCATATTTCATGTCATTATTAAAGAAATATAACTTAATTTAAGTAAGTTTTTAAACGCTAGAGCAAATGAAAAAAATTATTCACACACCTCAATGGTCTTTCTGCTTTGAAAATACAAAAAAATCCAGTTAATCAAATAGTTAATATTTATTTTACATTATATAAAATCTATTAAGATCTAGGATTCATTCAGGAAGACAAATACCTGCTTTTACGTTAGCTGCAGTTATTAGCTGGATATTTTATAACCTTTCTCTCTGCTTATTTTAATAGTAACAATGGGAAAAAAGTATATTTCTTTAGGTCACACACAGACTGAAATTCCCACCACTATCGATATCTTAGAGTTAAATGTACAGTTTACAATTCAGATAAGCTTGACAAATACAGTGAGAGCCTTAAGTCAGTTCAACTGGCTCTTGTTTATATATCACCAAATCACAATAAAATCACAATAACTATATGTAAGGTACTTCAAATTTTCAATCTTTTTTAATCCAATTAGAATCCAATTCACTGCAATGCAATCAATTTAGTATCAATATTATCAATTAATCCAAATCAGAGTCAATTAAAAAAGGTTATTAGCAAAGGAATAAGAAATAACCCTCCTCATTTAAATCCAATCGCCCTTTTCAAGTATGCACATGGACTCTGTAGAGAGAAAAAACTTCTGCTTTCTGGAAGGAACCACTGGCTAAAGCAGATTCAGAGAGGGTGAACATTTGCCTCAGCCAGTCGGAGTTTGAGAGGTGTGGAAAGAGGAACAAAAAATATCATATCATATTAGGGATGCTTGCTAAGAATCATAAAGGATAAACACAAACAAAAAAACGGAGCACAGAATGATGAAAGGTGCATCTTGAGAGGGTTAATGGAAGATATATTACCAATCAAATCCAATTAATTAAGGTCCCAAATTTGTCCAGTTCATACTGAGCCAAAACACAATTCAACAGCATGCAAGAGGTAAGGAGAGAAAATACTCCTTTTTGAACAAAATAACCCAAAACCTGGAGTTAAGATGACAGGAAAGACCAAAACAAAACACAAATATCATAACCGCTGCTTATAAAGAAAAACACAGGCTAATGTCAACAACATTGTCACATGTACATAGAGAGGAAAGAGAGCAGAGGGAGGAGAGGTGCATCATGGGAGCCCCCCGGCAGTCTGGGCGTATGGCCGCATAACTATGGGATGTTTCAGGGTCATCTGGGTCATCCCTAACTAGACGCTTTATCAAAAGGGAAACTTTGAAGCCTTATCTTAAAGGTAAAGAGGGAATCTGCTGCCTGAACCCAAAATGGTTCCACAGAGAAGGGCCTGATAACTGAAGACTCTGCCTCCAAATTCTGCTTTTAGAAACTCTAGTAATCACAAGTAGAACTGCAGTCTGAGAGCAAAGAGCTCTGCTGGGAAAATATCCAACCACAATCTCTTTAAGTTTTAGTTTTGTTTGATCTTGGTCATTCGGACCTTTATATGTGTGGATAAGAATTTTATAGTGTATTCTGAATTTAACAGGAAGCCAGTGACGAGAAACTAAAACTTGAGAAATATGATTGGATGAAAGGTTTTCACATTCTTTTAATTGTATTTATTTTTTATTATAATTTTTTCAAAGTATTACCAAGGTGAAAGAATGCTTCCCATGTACTTTCTTTATATGTGAGTTAGATTCTGGTAAGAAACAAACTCTAGGGTTCATCGATGTAATACTAGAGTTTAAAGAAAATGTCATTAGGAGTACAGTTTCTCTCAGAGGTGTTTGAATCCAAAAACCATGAAAATGCATGCCATACTGTCTAATAATGTTACCTAATGGAAGCAGATGCAAAGTGAAAAGAGCTGGTTTCGGCAGATTTTATGCAAATGATCAGAGAGTAGTTTTACATAATGGTTTAATTACAGCTATCGTAAAACTCTGTTCTCGGTTCTCAAGAAAGTTATTTGATCTAATTAAAATCTGAAGTGTCAATGAACTGGTACATTTTCTTGAAATATCTGGTTGGGATTGAGGGTAAAACACATGTTTATGGTTTGGAAGATGCTATTAATATTGTTAGCTCAGAGAGATCGACTGGACAGAAATGGTCCAAATACAAATCTTGGTTTTAAGGAAACTTTGTGATAATGGTGGGAGGATTCCGTGACTCATCCCTCTGTTGGGATGAAATTTTATTAGGTTAGAAACTCATGAAATCATCACTACTGAGATATAAAGCAGCGCATGGTTCAAAAGAGTTTATAGCCATTAAATATTTCCCTACTTTGTTGAAAAGCTTATGTCAACCCCGCCTAAAGTAGCCATGACAGAATTAAACTAATCAAACACAGGGTTTTGTCTTCATCGTGTTTTTGTGTAGTTATTTGCAGCTGCAAAAGTCACTTAAATGAGTAGAATAGACAGTAGCTTTGAAAAGTCTGTAGTTTAACTTTGTGTGATCTCAGGGACCCAATCTTCAATGTTGAAGTGTTGCTATAGGTGAACTTTTCTTTTCTTTTCATCCATAGGCAAGAGTTTCCGTGAAGAACAGTGTGAGGCGTTCAATGGTGTGAACCTGAATGCCAACAGGCTGGGCCCCAATGTGGTGTGGGTTCCCAAATATTCAGGAATCTCTCCAAAGGACAAATGCAAGCTCATCTGCCGTGCCAATGGGACAGGATACTTCTATGTTCTGGCTCCCAAAGTATGTTTCCATGTTCACTTTTTGTGATCTGTTTTATCCTCATGAGACCCTGCAATGCACAGTTGTCCTCTAGAAGGGACATCGGATTTTACATTTCCTGTGTCGGTGAACGAACCCAAACAAATCGCATCACTGTAAAGCCCTGGCTGCCTAATCCCCAGCACACTGGATTTAATTAATGCATACCATTTAGTCTTTTTAATGAAGCTGTTAAAAATGTTCCAAACAGAGAAGGAAAATGCATTGCTGTGTGTCAGAAAGTTTTAACTAACTTTCTCTGGTGAAAACCCCCCCAAAACAACTCAGTTCAAGAACATGAATTCTATGTTTAGAAGTTGTTTTGACGAGGAAAAGAAGTGACATATCGACTTCATTAACCAGCAAAACACAATTACCCTCTGCCATCTGGGGACTGTTTCGCCTGTTAAGTGGTAGCTCTACTGGAAATGATCTTATGTCCCATAAACGCATCATTAAGCAGTGGTGCTACTTTTCATCATGCTGCTGTGGATAACAATAAAGCCACACTTCGTTTTAGTTCCGTTAATATTGTGTTGACTTTTAGTCGACCTGACTTCATACACAGAATAAGTCCAAATCTTATGGGAAGCATGGTTGAAACATTGATGCTATTGGTGCTATTTTTACAAAAAGTAGTTGCAGTGTAAGAATAGCTGGTAAAAATAACAGTAAAACCTTTAAAGGTGTTGCGCTGTGATGCATCTGTTTTTTCTATTTTGTATCAGTAAGCCTAGATTCATCCAATAAATCCAATTGTGTGGATCAGATATCCATGTTCTGCTCTTGATGTAATATACGTTTTTGTAATCCAAAACTGACAGGTTGTGGACGGGACGCCGTGCTCCCCTGACACCACTGCCATGTGCGTTCAGGGAAAATGTATCAAGGCAGGCTGTGATGGCAAGCTCGATTCTAACAGGAAATTTGACAAGTGTGGTGTGTGTGGCGGGGACAACCAGAGCTGCAAGAGGGTCTCAGGAATGTTCACAAAGCCTGTGTAAGCAATCCCTTTATCCAAGTATTCATGTCATGTATGGTGAATTGATCAGGTGGAATTATTGTAGGACAGCCAGCCTGTTGGAGGAGCTGAGAACAAAGACATTTAGAACACAAACATGTTCAAATGAAGTATTGACTGCTACCTTTCAAGTTGACAAGACTTTACAAATTTGGAATAGTTTATATGGTGCTTGGACCAAAAAGCAAATCTTGTCTTATTCTCAAACTAGGGCAATATTTGTGGGAGTCTCCACTCAACTCCTTAAACTTATGATTTTTGGAAAAAAAATTGTCACTGTATAATACAACAAATGTAATGGTAGCAGTTCATTGCCACCAAAAACAATTTAGATGGCATTACGATTACAAATTTGTTGTATTGCGTTAATGATTTATGGCATTCCTGATCTGCTACTTTAGTCATGGCTACAACTTCGTGGTGATGCTGCCGGTTGGAGCCTCCAACATTGACATCCGTCAAAGGGGTTACCAAGGAATGGTCAACGACGAGAACTACCTTGCTGTGAAGAATCGTTACGGCAAGTACATCCTGAACGGCAACTACGTGGTGTCAGCCGTGGAGCGTGACCTGCTAGTGAAGGGCAGCCTGCTGCGCTACAGCGGCACCTCCACATCGGTGGAGATTCTTCAAGCCAAAAGACCCCTGCAGGAGCCTTTGACCGTGGAGGTCCTCTCGGTGGGGAAGATGACTCCTCCCAGGGTGCGCTACTCCTTCTACATCTCGAAGGAGACCAAAGAGGAGAAGACTCTTCGGAAAGAGGAGAGGAGCCACAAAACGCAGAACAGCGTCTTGGCCGATAGAAACAAAGTCGAATCTAAGAAGGAGGTGATGAGTAAGAGGCCCATCAGCCACTGGGTAACAGGAGATTGGAACAAATGCACTGTGACTTGTGGGAATGGTCTCCAGAGGAGGATGGTCCAGTGCCAAAGCATGGAAGGACGTCCTGCAGCGGACTGCGGCATTACCGACAGGCCGGTGGCAGTGAGGGCGTGCGGAGATCCATGCCCCAAATGGGATGTCGGTATCTGGTCTCACTGCTCCAAGTCGTGCGGAAGGGGCTTCAAAAGGCGGCCGGTACGTTGCGTTACAGAGAATGGCCTTAATCTCCCAAGAGACCACTGCTCTGGTAGAAGGAAACCTCAAGAACTAGACCTTTGCAACTTGATGGTGTGTTAGTGCAGAGCAGATTCAGGCATGCATTCGAGGCAGAACCTAGCTGAAGATGATTCATAATTGTGTCGTGAGCAAATATGCTCAATCGCAACCTGACTTTCTTTGAAAGAGTCTTATAAGACTTGTGTAAAAGAAGTGTCAAACCATTTGAAGCAGGTTCAAGATGTGGTTAGTCTACCTCTAACATGATACCTGTGCATGTGAGTCCTTTTAAAATTGGAATATGTAACATCCCTGTTTGGTCACAGGGACAGCATTTCAGAATATGCTGTTGGCATCATGTTCAGACATGCCCAAACACACATTGTCATGTTACAAACTACTCTAGACGGTGCAGAAAGTTATTATGTAGGAGGTTATGTTACTTTATCATCATTCCTATCCGGCTGGAAGCAATGCTGTTTGAATAAAAGGTGGTGAAGGGGAACATATGCAAAGGGGGAAAGAGGGTGATCACGTGGACATGATTTGTTTATCAAATTGTACACAGTCATTTCAATGAAAGAAAAATCAGGTTTGTGTGTTTTAACCAAAAGATAATCTATTATTCTAATAGAAATCATCACTACTACTCATTACTGTCATTGTAGACTTTGTTTTACAGTTGCCATGTTTTTACCACATGGACATATAGTTTTGAGAATAACTTCAGAGATGTTTACAAAGAAGACAAGTCGGTATGTATGTCTGATTCTCAATTAGTTAAATGCCGTGGAAGGTTAAAAAAAAACAATTCTTCAAATATCATTAAAGTTTAATGTACTTTTTCTTATATGACTTTCGTTGTACATCCCCAAAAAAGAGGATAAGAGATTTAGCCACGGTCTCTTATCTTAATGAAAGCCGCCTGAGGTGAAATTGTGGCATAATCAAGGCGCGTGAATGCATCTATAAGGGTTTATATGCATCAGTAGGATAAAACTCAGTTGAATGTTATAATTATACTTAAAAAGCAGCATGAGATAGAACACTACAATGATACATAAATCAGTACAAATTACACCAATACAAAAGACCATTCAGCCTTGTAAGTTAAATATAAAATTAAATAGTATTTGCCTAGAAATCCAGACACAAGTAATGAGTGCAATAAAATCAAGTCTGGGGCTTATATTTGAAAAAATATTTTATTTTGATCAGTGTTGGCCTGTTAATTCTCTGTTTTTCCATAAAGACTCCTTTTGCAGTTACTTTTCTTATTATTTACCTCGAATAGTAAAGTCCATTGGTCTATGTTTGTATTTTCTCCCCTCGTATCTATGGATTCTCCCCAGGTACTCCGGCTTCCTCCCACAGTCCAAAAACATGCATGTTAGGTTAATTGGAGACTATCAATTTAACCGAGGAATGAATGCGCGCGTGTATGTGTGTGTGTGTATAGTTGTTTGTCTCTGTGTGGCCCTGTAATGGACTAGCAACCAGTCTAGGGGCTGGGATAGGCTCCAACACCCCCATGACCCTTATAGGAATAAACTGTACGAACAATGGATAGTTGCTCTGTCACTTCTTACTCTTAACAAGAATTACTCCATAGAGTTTTTTTCAATATTTGTTTGTTTATTTTTTAACTTTAAAAAAATGTGGAATCTTTGCTTGTTTTTCAGTGTCATAACTGTCAAAGTTTTTATGGTTTAATCATTTACAAGTGTTACTTCCTATTGTGAAATTTATATAGTCCAACTAATATTGGACTTTTTAAAGAGATACAAGCATATTAGTCCAACTGAAATAAAACAGATATTACAATGTCAGACCAAACATACACAAAATGGAAAAAGCCCAATAGTAACAAGACCAAAGAGGGCATATCACTGGTTGTAGTGAAGAGTACACTGTACTTCAAATAGACCCCTTTCATCAGAAGGATAGCAACAGTTAAATAACCTAGCTGAGCAATGGCTGTAACTTAACTGCGCAAAGAAAAGTACTGTATTTTAAAGCGTAAAGAAGAAAAGAGCCTTATGAAGGAGTTCTCTGACAATATTACAATTAAAAGAGGATGCCCAGTAATTTCATCCTCATATTTTTCTCATTGATAGTATATATTCCAGACACGCATTCACAGAAAATTGACCTCAAGCTGTAAATATTTAGTTATAATCTTCTTTTAGGTTAGACAGCTATGCCTATCTGAATTTACATAAAGTTAGGCAAGTTCATCCATTGGACAGAATTTCCAAAAAAAGCACCTACATTTTGTAACTCGGCACAGTGAATCAATGCTAATTTGTTTTTGCCTTTGTGGATAGTCTCAATATGTACTTTATTAGAGAAAAAATATATTTCAGAGGGACCAGTTATACCATCTAAAGGGTGGAAATGTTGAATTATCTTTCTCAGTTGTCTTTTTGTAATTGTATACTATGTATACATTCACCTGTACAAAATAAAGTATAAAAACATAAGAGTTAACCAAGTGTTTTGTTGATTGAAACTGTCAATATTTGCTTTTGGTGTCCCACATATATTCTAGTACATGCCTATAAAGAAACATTTGCCTTTCGTCACTTAACAATATCTTTGATTGGATGCCCCTTGAGCATCTACCAATTCTTTCACAGTATCTTTTACATTGGACTTTTACTGCTCCATCACAGGGTTCATATCTAGGCCCTTTACCAATTGAAGCATGACGGCAGATGGACCACATTCATTCATTCATTTTGGTATTCTGCTGATCCAAGCTCTGTTGTCCTGACTATACTATAATAACACACCCGGCTGGGTCAGCGCCTGCACAGTAAGTCCGATGCATTGTTTGACATTCACCTCTCAGACTTGGACACCATAACCCCAGGGCCCTGAGGGTTTTGATGTATGAGCTAGAGACTCACTTTAGTTTTTTGGGCAAGTCAAAACAAATTGGTAAAAACGTCTGATGTGTTGTCAAAAGCTCTGATGGCACATGTATACATCTAACCATGTGCCTCAACCAAAACTATTTCTAATATCTGAGTGTGTTCCTTATTGTTCAGTAGATTGGACAGCACATGTACACACATTAACATCTTCCCTGGTGGTTCCTGTTCAGCCCATAGTCTTGACATAAGAATGCATTCTTTCTTGACATTTTTTTTACTTTTTCTTTTTGTATTATTTCAAATATTGTAGCTTCTAATTGAAGACCAAAGTGTCCCTTGTACTCAGCCCAGTGATCTTAATTTTGGTGTCAGATTAGACTAAAACCAGTTATCTTAAGGTCAAGAATAAACTAAGCTTCCTTTCAGCAGTGGAGATTACAAAAACATGGCACCGGGCATCCATCTGCTCAGGCTCAATATGATAAAGTATAATTTTAGTTTAAAGTTTAACATGTAGTGAAACTCAGCGTCTTTTGGATGCCTGATTTGGTGGAATGTGGCCGTTTCTGAAGACATAAAGACCTGTTTGAGTGCTCGTAGACACTTCAGAATTAGCCATCTTAATTCTGGTTAAAAAATCCTGGAAACTTGTAAGAAATTATTAATAATAATAGTTTTACCTTCAGTTGTACACAGTAACATATACTTCTCCTTGTCAGCCTGTGTTTGCCAAGATTGGATGGTTGTTGAAAAAAGAATATAAAAAAGATGTATTTGTTAGAAATTATTGTGAAACTTTTTTCTTTCAAATTTTCCTTTCAAAACAAGCATTGTCAAATATCTAAGACTACCAACTCAACCAGTGTTGTGCTTGAATGTGTTAAATGAATGTGTTCATTAGCACTGATCACATTTTATGTACATTTTCAAATGACGAAGTTTGTTTTTCCCTGATGAATATAAAGCAAGTAAGAATTTCTAAATCTTTTTTTTAACTTTTTAAATGATTGAATGTTTGTTACACATGGAAAACACGTCATGCTGATCTGTGTCTGCCTGGCTGAAGGCGTGTTCTGTAGTGGAAGCCACATATCTTTTACATATTTCCTCACTCGTACAACACCACTGAGCAACACCACCATATCAGACGACATGACAAAAAAATTGTGTACTACAACAAACAGGGGTATCAGAAGGTGGCTGAATAGAGAGAAATAACAATGAAACAAGCCTCTTGAATCAAAAGATTGAAACACTTGTACTAATACACAACAAAGAACAAGTCTGCAGGTCCAGATGGTGCCACCCACAATGTAGTGAAGACCTTATACCTCTACTGCGATGTGGGAATCTACTGCATATCTTTAACTTTAGCCTTTCATCAAGTTTCTAAAAAATCGTATCCATCCGCCTTCAGGGAAATCATATCAATTGCCCCAACACCCTCATCAGCCATAACTGGTCTCCATCAATTTAGTGCTGGACAGAAAACTTTGATGCATGATGTAGAAACGTTCATACTATTTGGAACACACACATACATGAAATTAAATGGTTTAAGGTTTTATGAAGACCAGGAGTCAGCTAAATATTGCTTTGATTCTTAAAGTGGTGCAGGAGATAGAAAACCATCAATACTAAGGAGTTGAGACTGATGAGACTGGAAATGAAACATTAAGGCTATAAACCAGAAGGAAAAGCAAAAAGGAACTCACGTCCTTGAGGGTTTGCACCAAAATGTTGCATATCGGGTGCAATCTGCTTGGCAATCCTTCCATGAGGCAGCAGCATTAGAGCCACAGACTGAAATTAACTGAACAAAAGAAGGCTGGTGATTGTGCAAAGAAGAATGCGATACAAATACTGTAGAGGAACATAATGAACAAATTTGCATGCCCCCTTTACAACACAGTGATGAAAAAATAAGGATTCTTTTCTTTGGCTCCACTGTGACAAAATTGTGTCACTTGACAACTCTTGAAAAAAGAACACAAAAAGAAAAACTGGTTTACAGATTTTTTTTTTTTTTTTAAATCCATACTTATTGTCACTATTAGCATGCTAATCCTACATGTTGTTTTTGGAGTACATGTATTCAAAACGGGTCCAATAACATCTCACGCATGACATAAGTCTTGTAATACGGCAACAACAGTTTCTGACAATGACATGTTTCTCAAATACATGGGTTAAGATGACAGAAGAAGGCTGCTGTTGGGCGCATAAGCACAGAAAACAGTCAGCAACCGTCACCCAACTTGTAGGCAGGTGGACACTACCTTCTCATTCATCAGGGAGAATCCCAGGCGCCTAGAAGGGGGGCAACAAGTATGCCGAATCCCACTGGAGGGCAACTCCAGAGTGAAAGAGTGTCCAACCCTTCTCGAGGAGACTGGTTCCAGAACCTGAGGCATTCTGACTATTTCTAGCTGGAACCTCTCCACCTTGCATACCGACTCAGTCTCCTCTCCACCAGAAAGGGGACATTCCACGTCCCAAGATCCAGCTTCTGTTGCCCAAGACTGGACCGCCAAGTTGAAGTGAACTTTAACGGTCAGCTGTTCATAAATCATCACACCTAAGTTTCCATTTGCTTTTGATGGCGCAAGAGACAAAGATTCGGTTTGGATGTGAATATTGTGGTGTCCGGTTGGTTTGGCTGGAAAGACAAGCAGTTCAGTTTTCGAGATTCAGTTGTAGGTGATTGGCTATCATCCATTTTGACGGCCTGAGAAACCTGCTAAGAGTGTGTGGTCGTCAGATGGGAACGACAGATAGAGCTGGGTAATATCAACATAGAAGTGGTGTGAAAAGCCATGTGATTATTATGGCTTATTCCATTAGTCGAGTGAGGTGGTGTACATGGCAAAGAGAAGAGGTCCCAGTACTGAACCTTGGGGGACCCCTGGGCTTTAGAGCATTGTCAGAAGGATTTCATGATTGACTGTGTCAAATGCAGCCCATAAGTCGTGAAGGATAAGGAGGGCTTGGCTGTTACTCTGCCATCTTTTAAGGCTTCTGTTGTTTTGTGATAAGTCGTCTGTGCCCTGCTTAAAGACTGCCCTTTCAATGGTCTTTAACGGAAAGGGGAGGAGAGAGACCAGCCGATACTTTCGCCACCTGAGTTGTCGGGAGAAGGATTTTTCTTGAGCAGCAGTGTAACCCGAGCTTGCTTGTATGAGGTTGCATCAGTGACACCAATTGAAAATACTGACAATAGTGCCTTTGGTAAGATCTGCAAGATCTTTTGATTAATCTGAGTGTACCATTAAGCCATGAGTGGGACTGAGAGGATCGAGCAGGTTTGGTCAATAGAGGACAAAGACTATCCAAAGAAGAGCTTAGTGTGGAGCAAAAGGACTCTGTGGCCTCATTTACCTCAAAGGACGAAAATGTGTTGGAGTTGGGAAGAGCAGATGCAAAAAGGGAGGAGAAGTGGGTGGGTGAAAGTTTGCAGATATTGTGGTGGAAAGAAAACATGGAGTTTTTTTTGGTGACTCGCTCTGAATTGAATGAAAGAATGGTCATAGAAGCGTAGAGGTGTGACAGTGAGGGCCTCTATGGCACATTTTCTTTCTCTTGAAGAATTTAACAATATTGCTTCAATTGTTATGTATTGTTGATGTACTTGACAGATTGTGGCAAAGCCATATATTTAGACATGTTGCTCACAATCCAAGTTTATACAAAGGGTCAAGTTATTGAAACTGAGCGAGAAACTCCTCTGGGATCCATCCTGCTGTACAGCTTCCAACACAACAATGAGTAATTCTCTTGCCTGCACTTTTTTAACGCTTGCTTGCTCTCGCATAACAAAAATGCCTCCAGTAATCTGAAGGACATGCAACCAATGGATTGCAGGAATCTGCTGAAGATGCCAATACAGTTTGATCCCACAAGACCTCGCAGTTGTGCTTTGGACAACAGCCACGGGTTCAAAACGGTTGCCGAAAAGCAGGAATATTGTCACTTAAGGGGAAGATCTGTCAAGAGATGAGACGAACAAGAGCTACAGAGCTGTTCCTCATAAGTAATAGTGCTGACTGTTATCCTGCAAAGGCATGAGGTAAAACAGCATGGTTTTAATCACAACATGCTGTGTTTGCTTAAAAGGTTTACACTAGAGCTGTTTGCCTCACTTTGCTCTCACAGGGCTTTCTGAAGGGAGGCAATGTTTTAGAGAATAGTCTCCAAATAAGTCAGTAAAAGTATGAAGAGGACATAGAAGACACACACATACACACTAATTAACAATGGTCAAAAAAAGTAATGGAATGTGTTCTGTTTCATCTGCAGTTCAGGCTGAAACTTTTAGCGATTTTCTGTCGACTCTGTTCCCATGTTAGTAGCATATTCATTCATCTAGGTTTAGCAGTTAGAGTTTGCACTGGAAATTTTGTACCAGCCAAGTTATTTATTACAGCTCAATCATTATTTGAATGTTACTTTAGATGGAAGTTTAGAAACCCAAGGGGTGGGGAGAGGATGGGCCACAGGTTGGCTCTTGAGGTTCTGCAGTTCTCCTGGGTGGAGTCTCGTTTCCTAACCCCGCCACAGCTGAAGATCATCAGGGCTTATTATCTTCTCTTTTTAGGGAGTCGTAGTT